TCCCTGCCAACTGCCCAACTTTCAAAGATCATAACTCGCTCATACGAACTCGGAATCGAGCAAACTCGGCGGCGTTGGAAAGATCGTTCCACAAGCTTCGAAACCATAACTGGAACTACTCCTAACTCATCCTGAGCTAGGAGTTATGACTGCTCAAAGTTGGCCAAAAACTCACTGATTTCCACACTTAGCCAAATTTCCAGATTTTAAATTTTTCCAAAAAATGACTATTTCCAAATTTCAAGCTTCTTCATATTCATTTTTAAATTGTCGGATGTTACATATATTTTTTTTTGGCTTGTTTTCCCCATATCTTAATATTTTAAAAAAGGTGGTTATGTTGTTTTTCACTCTGCACGGATATGTGCTGGAAATTGGTGTTTCACTTTAATTTCATGGAAGAATGTTATCAATATTTTATAGTTCCACTCATTTGAAAAATAATATCATTTTCTAATTATTAACGGACTACATTTTTTCATAATAAAAATTTGAAGAATCGAATCGAATTTGATAAAAATCAAATCGAAGAATCAAACGTTCACTCCTAGAATTCATGTCTCTTTTTTGACGTTCAAATTCATAATATATAGATTAGTGTTATGAATCAAGTCCAGCCCAATGTGGATACCAAGGTCACACAAATAGTTATTGGGCCGACAACAGCTACTGGGCCGAGAACGAGCAATAAGACCAGGTTAATTTGGGATCCGGGTTGAGTAGTGGCATGAGAACGGTTCCAACAAAAAAGGTAGTGATATGTGATTCAGGAATTATACAAATTGTTGAGTTTCATTATTCTTAGTCGACTTTCTCATCCCCTTCTATCTATATTTGTATTTTCTGATCTCAGTTTTGTTTTAACGATTGTTAGTTGTTATTTGCTTGTTTCCCTTTCTCAATTGTATTTTGTGTTCTCATTATGATAAATATCATTATTGTGTTGGTAACTTGATCAGTTGTTACATAAGTCTCAATTAGTATATTATACTTAGATAAGTAATGTTTAATTCTCTTTCCAACAATAGTATAAAAAATCAAACATAACTTTTGAATGACAAATTCAGTCCTAATGTATGTGTGTGAATTAAATTTAGGTGACACTAAAACTAGAACGTGTGTTCAAACGTTCAATTACACTTTCAGAAAGGGATGATTCAAACTTAGGGGAAGATGCATCTACCTTTGGGAGACAACATGAATTTGCTGATTTTACATGGTCTCCGAGCCAACGCAAGGTTATTTATAGGATCGATGATCGAGTTTCTGCCAGCACTCCTGGCAATGCCCTTAATGACTTTTTTGGATTTCGCTCTACATCTTCACTCGTTCTCGCCATTTTAAGAACTACAGGTAATTAATTCTTCATAAATTGCTTCAAATGTACTTTCTTTCAACTTTATGGTAACATTTTTGATACTAGGTCATGACTTTAGTCTACTTTCTTGGTTCACTAGAGGAGTATCAAGAATCAAAAAATGATGCTGGTGGAAAATGCTCAAGTGCCAAACTAACTACTTCCACATTGAAGATTGGTGCTTATGGGTTGACAAATAATGGTTAGTTAATTATTTCATCAAGCGATCATACAAGTAATATAAGATGTTAAGTTCAGATATCGTATCTATATAGAGATCTGTCAGATTGATCGTCTAATTTGAATTATTATTTTAACTAATCGATAAGTAACAAACAACTTTGGAATTATGCTTTACAATATACATAGGTTGAAAAAATGTACCAAATAAGGCACTAATAATACTTAAAACTAGTACATATATTTTTTATTCTAATGCAATCCACCAAACCACCTCTAATTAAATATGAAAACTTTAGTGTGCTTTAGACATTCACTATCCAAGAAGCATTTAACATATTGTAAAGGATTCTTATTTTATATTTTCATTACATTACATTTACATTATAAGTAATAATTAGTTCGTCTTTATTTAATAGTGATATTTATCTTCTTAATTGTATTTTGAAAGGAAGAGTTCTTTTATTTCCTCCTCAATATTAAAGACTTTAATAATCTAAGTTACATTGACTCTTCACTTTTGATGCTACACTCGTATCAGATTCTTCAAGAATACACTATTTCTGAAGAATCCGGCATATACATGTTGATGTTTTTTAAAGAGTCAAAGCAACGTAGTTACGTTAATAATTCGATTGCATTCTCTCAGGTTTTACCTTTACTGGCTACCCAGTGGTTGGATTACACAATCGAGTCCAAGCATCAGGAACATGCCTAGACAGTCTAGAAGATGCAACAATCACAACATGCCCTTGGGACCATAGAGTTAAAGGTCTATTTTTTCACCAAACAACATTTAGCATTAGCTTATCCAAAGTCAAAGGCTTTATTGAAGATGTTCAAAAACTTGTTGTTTTAGAGCCTAAAGCACTATGCGTCCTTGACTTATACAATGGAATCCTCATGAGGTATGTTACAACTTCAAATGCTTACTTAGGTAAGCAAGAAGATGGTTTGGATTTTGACATCACATATTATAGAAGCAAAGACCCAATGTCCCCTAGACTTTTTGAAGATATTATTGAAGAGGTAGAACAACTAGCATATTTCAAATATGGGGCATTGCCACATTGGGGTAAAAATAGGAATGTAGCATTTATTGGTGCAATCAACAAGTACAAAAATGTTGATAAATTCTTGAAAGTGAAACAAAGTTATGATCAATTAGGATTATTTTCAAGTGAGTGGACAAATCAAGTTTTAGGGTTAAAAGATGGGTTGACCATAGTCAAAGAAGGGTGTGCACTAGAAGGACTATGCATTTGCTCTGAAGATATTCATTGTGCCCCAAAGAAGGGTTACTTTTGTCGACCAGGCAGAATTTACAAAGATGCCAGGGTGTGTACTCGTTTATTGTCACGATAAAATACTTATTCTAATAAGTTATATCAATGGTGTATGCAGAATTTTATGTAAGCAGTGTCGATATTTAAAGAAGGAAAAAAATAAATAAACACATCAATGTAACAAATAAATCTAATTTAATACACTTAAATATATTAATACAATTATGTTCTCAATGAGTGCTTTTTATTACTTCTTTAAATACTAAATATGATCTATGGTTTTTCTCTTCAATTGATTAATGTACAATTTTCTTATTGCATCATGGTCATTTAGATTAACTTGTTCATTGAGTTTCAAGTGGATCTGTGTGTGCTGATTGATAGGCTTTCAATTCCATTCCATGTTAAGTGATGTTTTAGAGGTTAAATATGAATTTGAAAGCCTGTATATACACACACAAAAATTTGAGGGGAATATCTTCTTCTTTTTTTGAATATTAACTAAATTACAAATTAATATTTTTATCTTACGTTCACATTCATTCAAAGCAAAGTAGTAAACTACTTTTGTGCATTTCGAAGTAATAGCGTACTTGATAGTTAGTTAAAGATATACATTAATTTGAATTTTGAATTATCAAGATTTGGTATACAGTTCGTATCATATAGGACTCTTCTAGGTATAGAGTTTGTGTTCTCGTAGTAGTTAACTACATCGGTTGTTGGATACTCTGTTTTACCACTTATATCACGAAGTTTATAATCATAGACGATAAACACTAATCTTAACTGCGAATATTCAATTTTATTTTGGAAATTATCGCTAAAGTATGGACCAAGAATAAACATTGGGATCATTAAGCAATATAGGTTAAAGTTTTGAGACATAGTTCATTTCATTGTAATACATGGAAGATACTACTCACTCCTAGAGATCATCACATTTTTTGTTTTGGTTTGAACATTACATATGCAGAAAGTGTGATGGCTTCAACTTGTAAACGAAGGAGTAATCTTATATTGATGATTAAATTCAAAAGAAAATATAGTACATAAGAACATCCAATATGAAATTAATTAAAGATAGGCCAGAAATGAAACTTACAAAACACACAAAAATATATCCCCACTAATTATCATATTGACATTTTATTTTGGATCACCGCGGGATATTTGTATTGGGTACTAATGAAGATTAATCCAAACTTAAACTTCATTCTGATCTTCATGTCCGTGTGCATTAGTCCAAGGGCTAGTGAACTTTCTTAAACTCTCAAGTTCCATAGCCACTTCCTTCATCGTAGGCCTATCTTCCCCGTGCAAGTGAAGGCAACTCTTGATGAGCTCACCGATCTCTTGAAGTTGCTCAACACCTCCTTCTCTTACAACTCTATCATCAAGAATTTGAAATAAGCTATTATTTTTCATCGACGTTACAAAATATTCCACCAAACATTTATCCTCGTCACTTGTTCCCCTCAAAATAGGTTTCATCCCTGTTAAAAGTTCCGCAAGAACTACTCCAAAACTATAAACGTCACTTCTGTCTGTCAATTGACCTGTGTGGAGATATTCAGGATCTAAGTACCCTAACGTTCCTTGAACCAATGTAGCAACATGTGTTTGTTCAAGAGGGACTAATCTTGAAGCTCCGAAATCTGCAACTTTTGCTGTGTAAACATCATCCAATAATATATTGGTAGATTTGACATCTCTATGAATTATTGGCATGGATGCAGATGAATGAAGGTAAGCAAGTGAACTTGCAGTCTCTGAAGCAATTCTCAACCGATTTTGCAAAGATAACCAAGGCGCTCCATTTTGGTTGTGGATATGCTCAGAAAGAGTTCCATGAGAAACGTATTCGTAAACCAGTAAGGGAACTTCAGCTTCCAAACAACATCCAAAGAGTCTAACGACGTTTCTATGGTTTACTTGAGTAAGAATAACTACCTCATTGATGAACTGTTCAACTTGATTCTCATCCACATACTTAGATTTCTTAATAGCAACTATGCTTTTATCAGGTAGTATACCTTTGTATACGATTCCATTTCCACCATGACCAAGAATTCTATCACTGGCATAGTTATTCGTAGCCTTCCTCAACTCGTCAACTGTAAAAATTTTGGTCGCTTCCACACCACCCTTGATAGAGGAGATTTGTTGTTTCAAGAGTAAACCACCATTTTGTTGGAAGAACTTTTCCCTACTTTTAATGAGTTTTCGTTTCTTGATACAGAAATAGAGCAAAATTGCCCCAACCACTAGGGATATAAAGCCAACTCCCATACCTATGTTCATAACAACAAAATATATATACTCATTTATCACTACTGTGTATACATATAGATATAAGTAAAAAAAAAAATTCAATAAGAAGCACATGGTAGGTCAATTTATTGTAATAATCGACAGAGTGCTATTCTTCTAAACATACTATATATCCGATAAGAGTTATTGTGTATGACTTGATACGGGCGATGTTCATGGTTATGGTTAAAAACACTAAATCGAACTGCAATCCGAACCAAATCGATTAAAAAAAACCGATATTTGGTTTGGTTTGATTAGGTTTGGTTTTAAATTTTGAAAATCGATACTATTTCTTTTGATTTTGGTTTTACTAAAAAACAACTACAAAAATAACCAAAACGAACCGATAAATTAGATATATAAATTTTATAATTATTTAAACATTATTCATAAAAAAATATAAATATTTTGTTAAATTTTAATTAACTTAAGTCTTTAACTTTACCATTTTCTCAAGTCCAATAGTTAAATTTTAGTTCAACTATTACAATCCTAAGTCCAAGTCCATCAAAATCCATTACTTTAATCTTACCTATCCTACCTCACATAAGATAGTCACACTTTCTCTTAATTGGATCACTTTGTTCATGTAATAATAACTCTAGTATTGCTTAATTGCTTAATTGAACCGAAAGTAGCTTTCCTATGGATTGTTCATGTACTAGATGTTTGTATCTATCGAGATACGTATGTTCTCAAAAAATTTATTACTTTTAAACCGAAAAAACCATAAAAACTGAACCAACCCGATGGTTATTTTTTTCGTTTGGTTTGGTTTGATTTTAGAAATTTAAAAAACTGACTAGATTGGTTTGTTTTTGGTTTTAACCAATAACCGATCCAAACCGAACCACGAGCACCCCTAGATACGGCTAATACTTTTGTGAGGTATAGGCCTTGGGAAGCAAAATGCAAGTAGAAACAAGTTGAATTTCTGAGAAACTTACCAATAGAAAACTTGATCCATGGGAACTCAGAGTTCGAGTTTGGGGCATTACAGCCACGGCCATTCTTTTTGCCATCGCCAGTGTAGCCTTTTAAGCAGGAACAAGTGAAGTTTCCGGGAGTGTTTATGCAATTGTGTTCACACATATTAGTACTTGAATCAGCACATTCATCAATATCTGACATGCAAAACAGAGAAATATACCACATTAATCCCTCGCGCTTTGCCTTTAATTATATCTTATCTTTTAACATATTTATTTGCAGAAGTTTTTAAGGGTAACTATCAAAGAGTATTTAATTAAGCATTATAACTACTACATTAATAGACTTGCGAATCACTATCGATCATATAAATCATCACTAGCCATATTCCTCTGTTTAAACTCATCTTAGTTAACATTATTACCAAAAGGCTAAAGTAGTAGAATTTATGTTTATTGTTTATTGGCATATAAATATTTGATAGAGCTAAGATCTGAGGGGCACTTAAAATTTATCCCGAAATTATTTTTTCTTATCCATCACACCAAACGATCTTTTAAAGTAAACAAACGAGTGTTGAATGATAGAGTTGTACCAATGAAGTGAGAAGTCTGACTAATGGAGGAATCCAACTTGAATCAGAACTCAAAGACAAGAGAATTGAATGAAAGAGGGTTCGTTGTGAATAATAACTCTATGAAAGAGTTATGCTTAAATAGACGAGAATTGATTTAGAATACTCACGCACTTACATAGCAAAAAGGCAATTGGCATATTGGCTTTCATTGTGCTACTCAATATTGAAGAAACACTTTGAAGAACCAGGTCCTATTACAGAGTTTATGTTCTATGAGTTCTTCTCTGTGTTTGAGTGTTGGTGTAACTGAAGTAGGATTATAATTTTCAATTTGGGGGTAACTCGAAGACTTGGAAACACATACCTTGGAAGGTTTGTGTGGAGTTTATGAACTCTACATGTCGTAGGTTTTACACCTTTTGTGAGTCGGGTGTTTCCACATAAAATAGTGTGTTCTCAATTTACTGGTTTTACTGCTTCGTTGAAACATATTAGGCAACCCAGTTTACTTAGGCGAAAAAGTTCAGTTAAGCAACATGATTCAAGGTAGTGTAAAATATCAATTGGTATCAGAGCGAGGTAGATAAGATCATGATGAATTCAACACCACCAATCGGGCATAGTGAAGGACAATCAACAATCTGTTTTTCAATGGATCTCACTTTACCTGTTGGAAGGAACGCATTGCATGGAGGATTTCATCCAAGCTGAAGATTACGAGCTACATGATCGGATAACTAAAAGACCAACCATTCCGATGAAAATTGTGCAATGAGAGCAAGTTTCAAAAATAAAGAGAGATTTCACTGCTAAAAATCTTGTAACTCTCATAAAGAATGCGAAGGCAAAAAATATTCCATTGTGTGGTTTAGGGGTAGATGATTGTACTTCAACTAAACATATATGAGATGCGCACTGATCAATGCCCATGAAGGAACTAGTCAGGTCAGTAGTTTGGGGTGTCCATATTGTTCACTCAATATGAAACTTTCAAAATGAAGAAGAGTGAGTGCATGCTAGAAATAATCACTCGACTCACCACTTTAATCAATGAGTTATCATCGCCATGAAAGATTCTTACTATTGAGGAACAAGTTGATATAGTTCTGAGAGTCCTTTCCAAAACTAAATGGGATGTAAAAGCCACTACCATTAACAAAAGAAGAAGCTAAGGACATCTCTATCATGACGCTTGATGAACTAGTAGAAAACCTTAGGATTTATAAGATGAATATGGAAGATCATAGCATTATCATCCACATGATCAACAAGGAACCCAGCCCCTCTTGGCAAGTGATGAAAATTCTTCTACAAACATGGAACTTCACTTCTAGTGGGAACTATATATTCCAACATTGCCATAAAGAAGGCAATATGGTGGTTGACAAGTTAGCTAATTGGGGTGAACTCACTGGGAGAAACATGTTCTTCACTAAAGTTAAAGTCCTTTTGAAGAAGAGAGAAGTATTGAAAACACCTACAAACTTAGCGAGAATTATTAATTTTGTCACTAAACTATTGATAGCCTTAGAAACTTTCTTCCACTTGACCAACTGGATTTTAAAACACCCCTCGCTTGCCACATGATCTCAATTCTTTTAGATGAGTGATAGGTTAAAAGACATCACGTCAGCCTTAAACTTAGATAATCTTTTTTAAAAAAAAATTTACTTTCCCTTCAATTTTTACCAATAGATAATCTTAAACGTTAGCTTTCTTCTTCCATTTTAAATGGGTTGGTTATTTAATCATTTAAAAATTGGTCAAATATGGATCAACATACTATCCACGTAAAATATGAATAAATTATGAGTATCTATCAATCGCACTCTCCTTAAAGTACGTAAGGGTGTAACATCCTCTAAAAAAAGTAACTTATTAAGGATGTGTTTGGTGTGAAGAAAAATGTTTTTGAAAAAATAGTTTCCAGTTAATTTAAATATTTGAAAACATATTTTTTGAATGGACTTATTTTCCTCTAATTTAAGAAAAAATGACTTCCACATATAAAGTAAGTAATATTTCTTATCAAAACTTTACTTTAATTAGATAAATATTTAATTTCTTGGAAAACGTGAAAATATTTTTCTTCATACCAAACACATCCCAAAAGGAGAAAAATAAATAAATTGGGTTGGTCGGATAATTTATGAATATCTATATTATCTTTTGGGTTTATCCATTTTTACTTGCCTTAAATATAGATCGGGTCAGATAATTTATCCATTTTTGATCAACCAATATGTAATTTGATCCGCCTGTTTAGCACCCCTAGTGATGAGTAAACTTCACCTCAAGTGTTAGGGTCCACGTTCCAATAAGGCAGATAAAGGACTACGCATTATTGAGTTAATTTCTAGTGATAGTGTCCCAATGATGTTTATATATTTTGATTCCTACCAATTATTGTGACCCTACCTATTAAAGCATTTGTTTTTTAGTATTAAAAGGAGAGGTTCACTTTCAAGCTAGTAGTAAAAGCAAGAAGATCAGTGTCTCAGAAGATTAAGCGATATAAACTGGGACAGAGGAAATAGTGTTTTTAATTTTACATTCAATTATATAGTGTTTTTAGGTTTACATTCAATCCAAAATAAATAATTCCATAAATAGTGAAAAAATATCATTTTTTTCTTTTCAAATTTATCCTTATTTAGATCAATGAACTTTTACATAACCAAAAAACTATATTAAATTGATACTAATATTAAACTAACGGTAATTTAATTAGTGAAAACATTTCTTACTTTATAAAGGTGAGTAATTTCTTAAAGAGTATGTTCAAACTAAGAATACTATTGGACGGAGGGAGTATAGTATCATCTTGGGAAAAGTTAAACTTGACAATTGAAAACTATACCCTTAGCGTTAAAAAGTATTTTCTTTTTTAATAAACTCAATTTTCAAAAAATATCTAAATAATTTAATAAAGTATACCTTTTATTTATTTATTTTTCTTAATGAACATGAAATGAGCTAAAGAAAAAAATTAAAATGAGACAGAGGGAGTATTAATTTTGGTCAGAGCGAATAATCAATGTATTAGTGATGAATAAGGGTGGCAAAGTGGGTTAAAATTATGGTTATCCGCCAATTCAATCCATTTTAAGTAGGTTGGTTATATAATCATTAAAAAGTGAGTCAAATATGAATCAACTCTCTTTGAATTATGAATAATGCACTAATTGTACTCTCTTTGAAGTATGTAAAAGTAAGGACATGAAGTTAATTACCTTGGCAGCCCGGACTGATGTATGGATTGCCTTCATATCCCGGGTTACAGCTGCACCGATATCCACCAATGTCAGTGTGGGAATCCACACACTGGCTATTAACTAGACAAGCATAATCTTTGCTTCAACACAAGTAAGATTTCCGATGGTCCAATCTAGCACGATAGGGACATTGTCGTTAATCCTCTCTACAAAATCCGTGTCATTTAGATCCTTCAATCCCCGGAAATGAAAACGACTGGCCTCACCAAGGAACACATAGCCACATGGATTGAAAGACGAAACTCTTGTATGATTATTTCTGGATTCCATTGTTGTTCCGAAATATTTAATCCCCTTTCGTATTTCTAATTGACAACAACCAACTCCATCCTTACATGTTCCTTCAATAACAGCATGACTAGAATTATCAGTACAGAAAGAGCCACATCCAATAGCGAAGTTAGAGCCAGATAAAAAAGACAAATCATCACAACCAACGATGGTGAATTTGTTAAGATCTGAGAAACTGTAAGGGTATGTGTCTCCTAAATCCAAATTTGGAGAATCATCTAGGAGTAAAAGTGTTCCTTCGGATGAGTAACACCTCTGGCCTACAGAATTATATATGCGCATTTCTGAGTCAGAGATGTCGTAGACTTGCAACTCACCTATGAAGGGTGTTGCGACGTTGCATTCGATCTCAAACACGGGGTCTAAGGCACAACCTGACCCAATTCCAAATGGATATGGAACTGTTAGATTTCCACATTTTCTTGGACATCCTGGTTTTGTGATGTTAGCAGCTTTGGTGATTGTTGTGGTGGTGTTGGTGGTGTTGGAAGGAGAATTACTAGTGATTTGGGCTGTGGCTAATCTCAAGATTAGCGCACACATTGAAAAGGAAAAAAGTAAAGAAATTTGCTTAGGATGCATGATTTTGGAGGATATGTAATTGAGTAAAACTTTTTTCATACATATAAAGGAGAGTTAATTGGAAAGACGTGAGAAGAGGGATTACATTCTAAAGGCAAAGACTTTGATAATGTCTAATACTTTGTTTGGATGGTTGTTACCTATTGTTTCATAGTGTATTGTATTGTATCACGCTATATTATTTTAATAAATACAATATTTGGATATATTGTTACGTTCTTTGTCGTTACATAATGTCACACATCCATAATTTGAATGATAAATGTTGTGAACACGGCTAGCCAAGTTGTTGGGCCTGAGGCTAAACCAAAAAGAGGCCCAAGAATTAGACAACCCAATATTGATTTTGCTTGAGATGCAGGTTGAGTAGAGTTTAAATGGTTGTCATCTGGGATTTTGGAGAATTATTCATATCGTGAAGAAACTGTCGGTTTCTCTCATCTCCTTTCTACAATCTAAGCTTCTCATCCTATTCTTATCTCTATCTGTACTTACTTTTTATTTTAGTATTTTCCATGGTAATTCCATAGCTTAAGTGTTGTCGTTGTAATTTGGCTAAAAATGATTATATAATAATTTGAAATTTTGGTTTGTTTCATTGATGCTTTCATCCAGAGGTCTTCAATGGAGGACCAAATATCTCGAAAAATCAAAGATTCAATTAAGGTCTTGAAGGATACTTGATCGAAGGATCTCATTGAAATTAATTCAATGTTACATGAGTTGGTTGGAAAACTTCCAACGAGTGAACCTACCATGGTGGAATTTCAACAATTTTGTGGCGAGAATCAAGAGTTATGGATTTCTCAGGCTGAACGCTACTTTGAGTTCTATGAGATTACAAAAAACCACAAGTTATCTCTCGCGTTGTGCTATCTCGATGGGAAAGCTTTGCGGTGATATCAATGGTTTTTCCTGTAACACTCCAAATAATTCTAAGCTAAGATTCAAATCATTCTTCATTTCCGTATAAGATTGTATCGGGTGATTCTTAAATTGTTCTTAGGTATTAAGGTCAATTCTTTAGTGTCATAATGGATTTGGATATGAATTAAGGTCACAAGAATCCCTAGAGCACAAAGTTGAGTTGGAATCTCCTTTACCAATTAAATTTTGATATAAAATTCTACTTAAGTCTGATTTCTTTCACCACTAGTCTTTAATACAATTCCAGGATCAAACCTAGCAATGCATAGACAAGAACTCAACATCACATTATTTAAAAACTAGTTATTAAACACTATAAGAAAACCTTTCATAACAACAAATCTCGCTATTATGCAATAATAACTTATTTTTCCTTATTGTTCCCTACCAAATCCCGGATATCCTGAAACGGGAGTTTCTCCACAATCATAAATCATTAAGTTCTCCTACCATTCTTACCAACGGTAAGACCATGCAGTTTTAAAATAATCCCAAGATCATACCTAGACATCATAATACAAACATTTCCTCATGGCCATTAAATTTAAGACTGGACACATAATTCATGACACATTACACAAACATTAATTCATGACACATAACCGAGTCACGACTTTTTCTTATCCACAACATCATAGAAATACAAGTAATCACACTTCCTACATATGCAAACATTCAGGCAAGTATAGTTCACACATAGACAGTTATTCAAACAATACAATAAACATCATAACAACCATTAAACATTCATCACTCATTTAATAAAGTCCATGACAACCTACTTGCATTATGGATGACCATTAACTGACAACCATGAGCAATCACAACACTTAACCATACACCAAACCCCCGGTCATCTGTCTAACATAACAACCACCATTTCATTAAACCAACCCCATCATGACAATTAGAAACAGAGTTTAGAAACCATTAAAGAATTAAGTCCTTATAAACTCAACCTAATAGTTAAAACAATTATGCAGAATAACCCTAAAGACTTAATTGTCGATAAACACTTAGTAGGCGTTTGGCAATGCGATACCATATCACGATATGGTGTCGTGAGATGGAATCAGCGTAAAATCGCGTGTCCAAACGCTGATTCCATCTCATGATTCCATATCATGAGAGGTGATACCATATTCTCCAAAAACCATGATATGGAATCACCATGTGATTCCATATCATGATTTAAGATATTTTAATACAATAATTGATCCATGAGTTTATATTTTGTTAAAACAACCCCACATTTATATCTACTAACCATTTGTTTCATATGTAAATAAAATTTATAATCACATCATTACTTTTTAAAATTTATTATTCTCACCAATATAAAATTTATTATTACTTTAAATTTGGTGAATATAAGTGATAAAGTAGAAATTCATTTGGTGAATATAAATGAGAACGAAGGGAGTAATACTTTTTTGATTTTTCATAATAAAAAAAAACGTCTTAATCTTATGACTAAGCATAATATTGATAAAAGACAATTTTCATTGGCGGTGCCGCATTTTCTTAAATCTTAGTATTTGCAAAATGTTCGTTCACATGGCTGAAGAATATCAAGTCCAATTGATTGAGGACTTGGGAAAATTTGATCAATTAGTTATTAATATTTAGTCAAGTGGACTAGTTATAATTTTTTTGATTAAATTTTATTAGAAGCGTTTTTTATTCAATCTTGTGGTAACTTTTTAAAATTTCGTTATTCAATAATATTTAACTATTGATTTTTCTTGTAAATAGTTAGAAGTCAGTGATGTTTGTTAATTTTTATCTTAGTGCATTTAACTTCTAAGTTAATATTTACTCACTAATGTATATATATATTTTTTTATAGGTTATTTGTAAGAGTAGTTGAGAGATATGAGCATATCAAGTACAATTTATGTTCAATTTTTTAGATGAAACAATTACTTAAGTGAAGAACAAATAACTTTGTAATAATTTATTATGCGATTTTATAATTTTTGTTTATTTGATAAGATTGAATAAACAATTGGGGCTATTTTAATAGTTTTACAACTTATGGGATTTTTATGTTTATGAGAAAATATAAAACACAAAAATTTCAAATCGCATGTCCAAACAAAACTTCAATTT